GAGGTTCACGAGCACGATCGCGAGCCGGCCGAAGAGGAAGTTAAGGCGGTGATGGCGCTTTGTAGTGCCTGTGACCCAGAACCATTCCAAGGTGCCATTGTGTTTGCATGGAAGGATGCCAAGGAGCAGATGGACAACGCGCTCAAGGGATTAAGTGTAGGTGGGTGTGGCAATTTTTAATTGCCACGGCGTGCATGTGAAACGGCGCTAGTCAGAAGGGTGTATTCGGAGCGCTAGTGGGGGTTGTGGCTATTACATAGGTCGGCGCATTTTCAAAACGCATTTAATTTCGAGCTGCCCGCGGTCGGTCGCGCTGTCGGTCGCGCTTGTATTCATTAGCTTAATTTTTAGAAAATAGCATTTTGTATTGTATTTCATGTATGTATGTCTATTTATATTTTGTATTTTATGCAATAAAAAGCTCACCTTTGATTTGTGAATATGTTGATGTTTGTAATCCGAATCGAATTCTGGTTCGCTGAAGTAACTCTGCAGAGAGGGTTTTACGTTAAAAATTTCATTTACGAATATTGATTTTCAATAGTAGATCTCACCTGGTCTTGATCCCAGTGATTTGGCGTTACTTGAGGCAGAGGCTGCGGAACGCCAGGTCCGCCGGGTAAAATTTGTGGCGGTGCAGCCACTTCTGTGGATTCAAATAATCGAAGCACCGAACGATCGCGTATTTCGCGTAAATGTGAACGTACATCTTCCAATTCGTAGAACATGTCCTTGCTGGCGTCATGTATGTATATTTTGACGTTTGGCCCCTCCAGATATGCCATGGTTAGCTGGCGAGGAAAGGAGCGCACGAACAGGGCGCGCACAGTATCGATCGAGGTGATTTCGTTTGGCAATAGGGCACGTTTCGTTTCCGACCGATATTGCAGAAACACGAGACCTGTAAGGGAGGGCAATTATGAGCAACTTCGAGCGGAAATTTGATTGTAAATCGTGCTCACCTAATGGTCTCTCCAACGTTTTCGAAGGGGTACGAACTACCGGCAAGGAAGAGCGCTGCTTGTTGCCACGCCGAAACCCAGTGCTCGCTGTTTCTACCTCGGACATAATACCGGGATCATCGTCAAATAAGGGCCCCTGATTCAAGGGCGTATAGCCACGTGGCACATTGTTCTTCAAATATAATTGGAACATGTACATATTTGCGTTTTGAAGAATTTGGAAAAAAGAACTTAAATTTTACAGAAATATGCTCGTATTTAAATAATTTTAGAAAGTTGGTGTTGGAGAAAGTTATGTAGGACTGGATTGAAAGAAAAAAATAATTTTTTTATTTTCAATAATAGATGCTTCGCTATTTTCAATGAAATAAACCGCAGCATCCCAGCTGAATGAATTGGTTTTTCACAAATTCACTTGAAAGATGGGTACTTCCACCAAGAAAAAAACCGCAATTAATTTGTTAACTTCGACTGTGAATTTTCTGGAAAAATTACTTTCAAACCGAGGGCTCTTTACTTTCCATGTGACATGTACCCAACAAACATTTAGGTTAGCGAAAGATTAGAAAACGACTCGAATTCCAATGTGCTTCTTTAAAGTAGAAGGTTATAAGACGATTAGAGAAACTGTCGAGAATTATAACACTCTCTACAAAAAGGAGAAAGAGGTTAGATATCTAATCGTTTTCTAATGTTGAATTCTAATTGGCTTCTAATGTCTGGTGTTTTTCTAATCATTCTCTAATCGAATTCTTACACAGTTCTCTAACCTGATTTTCGATCCGAGAACTACGTAGAATTCTAATGTAAAATCAAAATATTTCTCTAATGTTAGAGACTGTGTTTGCTGGGTTTGTATGTATGCATGTACATATCTGTGCCCGTCAATTAAAGTAGCTTAAGTGACTTTAGAAGGTTTGACTTTGAATTAAAGGATAATCAGGTTTTCTTGAAAATTGTTTTATATTTATGTGAATTTAGGCGAAGTTATTTTTTAAAAGGAAAATTTTGAAAGGTTAAAAAAGCCGATAGCTTCCCTTTGCTCGTTACTTGCAACACAGATTTAATATATAAAGATTTAATTTTAAATTTGTCTTCTACAAATACCTTTTTGTTCTTCTGTGCACGAGTGCTCATCTAAGTTTCGAGAAAATAAATTTTAGTTCTAAAAAACTATCATTTTACTTTCATAAATTACCTCCAAATCCATGGCTCGTTGTTGCTGTTGTCCCTGATTCCCAGCGTACATAATCATATCTCCACCCAGTGTATGCCGCCGCGGATCATCCCGACGCATGCCACGCCGATGATCGCTAACTAAAAATCAAAACATAGTTCAAATAATTATTTGATTTATGTATGTGTAAATCGACTGAATGTCAGCTCACCCTGCTCATTAGTCGGCATACGTCCTGCTTTCGATTCATTTTGCCAGTCTTCTTCTGGAAGCAATGTGTAAAACATGAATGCAGTGGGTGAAAACATTGTGGGCACCCACCCAATAAAACTCCCCTTTTAACAATTATGATCCGAATTTGATTACTTTCTGACTCATAACCGCAATTTCCGTGTCTGAGTAGCTCACTATTTATACGAGCTTCGAAAATTAATTGTCGTCGATTCGACTTGTCAGGTTAATCGCTAACGGCTTAGTGCTGGAGAATTTGCATTGCAAATCCTGTCGCCTGCTGCCTGCAGTCGGCGCTTGTGACAAATTGACAAAACGTTAAAAATGACTTGTAATTTTCTCTGAAAGCTTTGCGCTACCTAGCTACTGTGTGTGCCTGAAGCGAATAGACAGACAAGCGATTATCCTTGTCACCGGTGTTTACTGTCAGCTGCCCGAATACCGGCAAAATGGAGCTAACGAGTAAACAAATGCGGACACCTTCGTGCCATGGGTGTTGATTTCTAAGGACACTGATTTACACTGACTACGGACTACGACACGGAAATGGGCAATCAGCGTGCAAATGTATCCACATGTGCACAATACACCCACACCCACACCCACACATACACGGGCACAAGCCCGCAATAAAACGTGCTTACTTATTCGGGTGCATACTGAGGGAAGTAGGTATGTATATTCAGTCTATGTAATATCCACTTACTCCAGCAGGAGTTGTTTAAATATTCACATTTATGCCCCACCCCTACCCACCTGCTTCACGTCCTTTTCGCTTCTTCTTTGATGAGCTGCTGCTGCTGCTGCTCTGGTTCGATGAACTTTTATCTTTGCTCTTCCAGCGTATCAGCATCGTGTGACCGTTCGTATGCGTTGGTTGGACTGCGGCGCCGACCGGAAAGCATTAAAAGTTGGCATTAGCATTGAGCAAGTATCAATCGGAGTTCGGATGCAGGCATATGTACATATGTATGTATGTATGTATGTATGTATGTATGTGTGCATATGTGTTTGTCTATGGAAGTAAAAGTGTGCAGCCTGTGTACTTAGGCAAGTGGGTAAGTGCCTCTGAGTGTCTTCGGCACTTGTACGGCCAGGCCAGTTGATTAGAAGCCCTGAGCAAATATTTTCGTAGCACAAACGTTGCAACGAACGCCTCTTGAATTTTATATTGAAAATTTTTTGCTCCATTTTTCGCGTGCTTTATTGGTGGCTAAGGGACAGTGCAAATATTGCACGAAGAAAACAGAGCGGCAGAAGAGACACAACAAAAGTAAATGCGGAGAACAGCCGCTGCGCATGCACCCCCCACCTTCTCCCAACCATCATCACAGCAAAATTTCTGTTTGTTTATGTTTCAAAATATGGTTCGCGCACAGTGTGCGCCCCCGCCGCGCCGCTTGCGTCAACATACCATACAGCTATTGTGTATTTAGCCGGCATGCATGCAACGCCAAATACTCGTGCTCCGAGCGCACGCACGACGGCATTTCTCACCAAAAGGGAAATTATTTTATTTCCTTGCATTGGCATTTGGGATGGTGCGTTGAAATTTCGCGACAAGTGCACAATTTCATTGCACAGTGCCATTGGCTTGGCGAAGGGAGTGCGGCGGAAGAGTGCTTTGCTGACGACAAGCGCTTTTCCATTTAGCTGACCCTGGACTGCGGAGTGCGAGGAGTTTGTGGCTGAAATAAGGAAGATATCTGTGTTCTATGCTGCTTGTTCGTCTGCTGTTGCTGGTTTTATGGGTGCTCCTCTGCCACATTTTAATTGACGTGTACTAAAGAATACTTCCGACTTGATTACTTCCTCATATTTGTAGGCCTAAGTAAAATATGGGAAGTACTCGCAAATGAATAATTGATGATTAGACGAGTTTTTTTTTATCTTTTGGTTGCTCAGCAAAAACCCAAAAAAGTTGCATATACATACATATATACATATATACACACAAAAGTACATATAGTGGAACTCAAAATTTGCTATATATATATAACTTTTTTCTCACTGTTAATTTCTTTTATATTAAAATGCTTTAAAATTAATCAATTTTGCAGAGAAAACACGAATAGCCACAGCATCATGAAATTGAAGCAGCACTTGAGTGCTCCGCTGTACATTCGATGGTATGACGCACATGACCAATTTTATATGCACAAAATTGAACTTTATTTACACACCTAATTAAAACTTCGCTTTGTGCTGCAGTTTTGCTATCTGCAACATTATTTTCTGCTCAACTATATTGAAAATTTTAAATATTTATGAGTATTTTCTGGACAGCGTATGAATGTGACCGCTTTTGAAAACCGTTCGATACGTTGTAATGCCAAATATTTCTGGTATATCATAAAAGAGTTTCCGCCCTAAATGTGCACAGGATTTGGGAAATTTCATTTCCGCGCTTGCGCGCTGATTATACGTAATCCCGCCTTGAACTTAGAATTCACCAAAAACCAAACCAACGTAGTGCTTCCGTGCTTCAACAAACGGAAGCAAGGTAGTTTATGTAGAAGGTTTTGGAAGTAACAGGAAACTCTTTATATATCTAAAAATCTAATTAGAACAAATAGGATTTTAAGTTAGATAACATATTTTATTTATATTCGACACCCTGTGGCAAGTGCTGCCAATAATTTCTACTGTCAGTTGTGCTGTTATGGCTGTCCGATTTCTGGCGTAGAAAATAAATAGGGAGCTCGGAAAAAATTGTGTTAAGGTGAGTTGAAAACAGAAAATTAAATGTGTGTGTTAAAATAATTAGGTAGAGGGGTCACAATACTGCTTTTTAACTATTGCCAAGTTTTTTGTTCCGAAATATGATAAAACGGCTTTGCAGAAATAATGGATTTGTGCACATTTTCTGTGGCGGTTGTGATGTAATGGCTACTTGCACTGACCGTATGCAGTTAAATAGTGCAACTATCCGTAATGATTTCTAACAAAAATTTGTAACTTAGATCAATGCCTCCTTCTAAACATTCTAAAAGAAATATTTTTAAATTGATTTACTTTTCAGAATGGCTGCCGTTTTCCGTGTAGGCATTGTACGCCTGTGTGGCCGTAATGCAACTCCTGCATTGCTGAATACGCAGTCGGTGTCGCCGATGGCTTTAACGCAGAAGTGCACAATTATGGGTAAATCTATGCGTGGTGGTCCTCGCATACCAAATGCACCTCCATATCCATACAAGGAGAAGCGGTACACTGTACTCAATTCGTTATTTGATAAAACATCGAAGCGCATGGACGAAAATTCTAAAGTCATCTGTGTTGAAGGACCAATTGGTGCAGGCAAGAGCAAATTTGCCAAAGAGTTGGCTGATGAATTGGAAATGTGCTACTTTCCCGAAGTCAACTTGGACTTGATATATATCAACTCCTACGGATACGATATGCGAAAGTTAGATCCGCAGCTGCCAGAACTGTGTCGTTCCTACGATGTGACGAATTTCTGTCGTGAGCCCAATCATCCTTTGGCCGCACAGTTCCAAATTCGCATGTACATGCTGAGATATTCGCAGTACATAGATGCCTTGCAACATATTCTTTCAACTGGTCAAGGTGTTGTTTTGGACCGTAGCTGTTATTCAGATTTCGTGTTCTTAGAAGCGATGCATAGAAATGGTTACATTTCTCGTGGTGCCTATTCGGTATACCACGAGATTCGTGAAAATACCATTGGAGAACTTCTTAAGCCGCATTTGGTAATCTATTTAGACTGTCCAGTCGATGCCGTAAAGGTAAGTTAATTGCGATAAGTAATACAGTAATATTTACATATGTACCTATTTAATTTTTTAATTTTTAGCAACGTATTAAAGCTCGCAACATTGACTACGAAGTCAATTCTAAAGTGTTCACCGATGCCTACTTAAAGGATATTGAAACATTCTATAAACAGCACTTCCTTAAAGATATCAGCAACCATGCAGAAATCTTAGTCTACGATTGGACTGCTGGCGGAGAGACCGAAGTTGTTGTCGAAGATATCGAACGAATTGATTTTGGACAGTTCGAAATTGATCACCATAATAAGAAAATGAAGGATTGGCGTTTCCCGCTCGAAGCGGAGTGGTGTGAGGCGCGCATTAAGTACTGTAACGAAAAGAGTACTTTGATGAATTATTTCAACGTACCACGCTACGACGTTCCGGAATTGGTGCGCGACGCTGAAAGCGGCAAAATTTGGCGCGATGTGTGGTACAACGTAAGTATTATTGTCAGCAGCATGTTCTGATAGTTTACAAACAGATAATTTTGTTTTAATTTCAGGCGCCTGGCATGAAATATCGTCCTGGCTATAATGAAGATATGGGAGATACAGGTTTGCTTACTAAAACAACTATCGGTATCAATCAACCATTCTAAGCTGTCGCCAATTATTTGTTAGTCAAATATTAATAAAAAGAAAAGAACCGAATGAAATGAAATGCTGTATAATAAGTAGCTATGAAAAGAATGCGAAAGGTAAATAAAATCCTGTATTCAAAAATGATTTCTATCGAAAACCATGGTACTGATCTGTTGAATGTTTTTTAAAGGTTAAAAAGAAAATAATGTGTAGAATAATAAATTAAAATGCTGTTGGCGACTGTTTGTTGAACGCAGTTGTTTTTAAAATTTGAATGAATGAAATTCGCTGTGAGTTGCATACCTATACAAACTGAAATTAACACTTTCATCCTTATACAACTAAAACCACACATCTATCAAGCATTAGAAAACTAAAATTCATCAATCATAATCACCATTATCTTCGATGAGACAAGTTAAAGGTAAGTCTAAACAGCACAACTTGTTAAAAACATTTCAAAAGAACATTTTTACAAACCAAACATTTGAGCAAATCAAACGAAATGCGTGCATAAAACACATCCGGGGAGTCTTCTTTTAATATTTTCAAGATCGTATTTCGTAAAATTCAGCGATAGCGTAAAGATGAGACCCACAATGGGAGGCGTCGCCTCTGTGTAATCTTCCATAAATATCTGAGCCATTACCGTTATATATTTTTTTGTCTATGTGTGAAGAACAATCGGTTTTATAAAGGTTTTGTAAGACCCTACTCGTAGACTCTTAGCTTTGCCTGGAGTGCATATACTATGTATACATACAAAAAAATCCTGATCGAAATTAACAAAATACAAATTTTTATTACATAGAAGCGTGGTAACCCTGAGCGAAAATATTTTCGGACCAAAGTTCTCAACAATACCTTTCATTTGATATCCATATTGTGATGTTTTAGATAAATTGTGTAGAACCGAAAATAAGTGGCAACCTTACACTATTATCCTAAGCGATAACATTTTGTATATAGGGAAAGCATTGTTTAAGAACCTTCTCTTGGTATCCGTGAATAGTAATATCTTAACTATTTTTGTAAACGAAAAATTAAATAACAAGTAAAGAAGTATAAGTTCGGGCGAAACTTAATTTCATTTACCCGGCGCAGGTATCAAATATCGTCAATTCAACTTTGTTTCAACTACCTTTGCATGATAAGCAGGGGCGTTTTTCCCGATTTCAAACGTTTTCGATAATATGCTGACTTAATGTAACCATTGAACGAAGTTTGGCAGAAAGGGGTTACCGAAATAGACCTTAGTAGTCACAAAGTGGGCGGTGCCACGACTGTTGTAAGTATTAACTTGGAGCAAATAAGTGTCCTCAGTTTTTGAAATATCGGGAGTTTTCGTATTTTTGAAATTTACCGTTATACGGGAAGGGGGTGTAATTTTAGTCCGATTTGAATAATTTTCAACAAATTGCTTTTCCGTACCAAGGTTATAAGGTGCACCATTTTTGGTTGAATTTGATGAATCGGTTACCGAGATACACATTTGTGGTCATAAGTGGGTGGCGCCACGCCCATATCCAAAAATTATAATAATAAAATTTCCTGCTATCGTCGATTTTGAGTGAATCAGCTTCAATAATTACAGTTTTTGTGTTTCCGTTATATGGGAGGTGGGTGGGGTTATTGCCCGATTTAAAAGATTTTCAACAGATTTCTTAGTTGGACCCTAAGCAAGGCCCGAACGGAGTTTGGTAGGGATTGGTGAAGCGGCTACTGAGATACAGCATTTCATCATAAGTGGGCGGGGTCACGCCCATTGTACTATAATAGTACAACACACAGGGCCATCTGAATTCGGCGTTTTATGGGCGGGAGAGAGAAGGGAGTAGAATTTTACCTCTGCAATTTCAGACCCAGAAAATTGCGGTATTACATACATATGTATATATATACATATGCGTTTTCGAACTGGCTGTCGAGATAGGTCGATCTTCGACTCAGTCATCGATATGTAGTAGTTGTTTTGAATTTCCAAGGCAATGATTAAGAGTTTTGCATATTAAGGCATACTTTCCTGTCCTTATTATTTACTAAGCCCCGTTAAAGTTTTGGTAAAATCAGCAACTCTTGCACACAACTCGACATACGTACTTACATTTTGGTGCTAGTCAATTGATATGCTGGCTTTGATTGCACTTTATGACATTTAACTATTTTGGCGTCATATATATGTATGCCATTGAGATTGAGGGATTTATCGTAGATAGTATGTAGGATATTAATCGGAGAAAATTAAAGGCACACTTACCCTTAAGAGCCACTAAATAAATAAAACGCCACTATACGCATTAATTGGGCTTTATTATTATAACATTTTAGTATATCCATTTCTTATATTTTGATAAAACAGTAAAATATAAATAATACGCATAAAAGCATTTGCTAACCATATGCGTCCCTTCCTACATACATTCCTTTGAATATTGATTAAAATATATACAATGTGTTGGGCTTTGTGCTTAAAATGTCAGCTTTAAAAATGTCAAAGTTTAAACTCAATTCCAATGCTGATGAAGGAAGCTTAAACTTAACAACTTGCACGGACAATTGAATAGAATTTTCAGCTCACTTCTTATGCATAAAGCTCTTATAGAAATATTTGTTAGATGTTATAAGTGGGGTATGTTTTAAACCTGTGGCTCGAGTCCGACCCTCAAAGGAACGTTCATCGACTGCCAGGCGTTGAAAAATATTTCTTTAATTTTTGGTTATTAGAAACTACAACTTTAAAAAATATACAGCATTTTTTTTTTATGTTAATCCCTCATTATGCTATTTTTATTCATAAAAGTATATTTATTTACGCATATTTATAATATAATCATTTTCATATGCTCCCATTGTTTTGGGTCGGAACCGGACCGGCGTGGGAAAAAGCCGCTGCTAAAGTCGCGGCCACGTCTTTGCGCAAATGACACTCACGTTTCCTACGTTGTAAACTAAACTAATAACATTACGTTGACTTCGGCTTAAAAACTCCTTTGCTAATGTTTTTTAAAATACATATTTATAAAAAGAAATTTACAATAATAATTTACAACATTTCAGTCCAGCTTTTTGTGACTATTTTCGCCAAATCATCTGTCTTCTCATCGCGCACTAGCCGTCGTTTGCCGCAGCGCTTCCTCAGACAGGATTCAGTTCTTCGCGTTTGAAGTTGCGTATTGCTACTAGTAGTTGGTCTCTTGGATCCGGGCTGCTAGGTGTTGTTGCCGCGCTACCGTTAGGTGTGCGCAACGGCACGACCTTGGTCGGCGCTGGCGGTAATGGCGGTGCGATGGGCGCAGATTTTGGCGCTGACTGAGTGTTTAAAGTCGTTGTTGTGTTTGTTGTTGGACTCGGGTTCCGTTGGTTCACATAGACGCTGGTCGATTTCTGCAGTTTAAGTTCTAGCTTGGCACTTTGAATGGGTTTCCCCGCCTTCTGATTGACGCTTATTTTTTCCCATGGTGCTTTCGGTTTTGTTACGCTCACGAAACCGTTGGAAATCGTTGTGGTGTCTTCAGTTTTTGACTCTTGTGCCCTTGGGGGCATGGGCGATGGAGTGCTGCTATCATCCTTTGCGTTCTTCTGTGCCTCCGCTTCTTTTGCGAGTATTTTTTCTTTCAGTCCAGTCTTTCGAAGTGTGTTCTGACCAAAAGGTGGCGGTGCGGCCTCAGTGTGATTATGTTTCAGCTTGCTGGCCTCCAATTGGCTGATGGAGGTTGAGCGCAGCAGGGATGGGCCCACAATATTTGCCACTGGTGTACTGAACCGGTTCGTGTTGCTGCGCGGTAATGTTGACGTGTGCACTGTAGTTGCAAATGATCTTTTTGTGATTGATTCGCTTTTATTTGCTTCCGTTTCTGAATCTCCGTTGAGTAAAACCGTTGTAATGCTAGTAGACTTCCGATGTCCTATTTTTGTGGGCACTTGGTGCCGAGCGCTGTTTGTTGTTGTCATATACAGTTCTACGTTTTCAGCTGTTACGTCCTGCAGGGGCTTGACAGTCATCGGCACACGATACTCCTTCTCGGGTATACCCATGCGCTCCGTCGGTGCAATTGCCACGGGCTTCGGAGCAACTGACGGCGGAGCATTCTCACGTTCGGCCCAGAATGCGCTCGCCGGCATTGAAAGGCGATTGCTGCGCGCCTGTGAAATTGTGTTTATTTCGAGGGCAGCCGTCGTAACTGCAGCGCTCTGACTGTCCGCATTCTTGCCACCAAAGATGTAGTCACCTTCGTTTTTGATGGACACTTGTACCTTGGGACGTTCGTTCCATGTAGAGAAATTAATGCTTGGCGGTCCGGAGTATCGGTACACTTTGGGCAGCTCCTTTGGTTTTGTGCGCTGTGTCGAGTCATTTATCGCTTCTGCCGCGTTTTCTTCGTCATTTATGTTCTTTGGTGTTTCGGCTATTGGAGCAATGTTAGCGTTCTCCCCGGATTTATTTTCGATAGGCTTAGCAGTTTCCGCTGACGCCGCCTTTGATTCGCCATCACTATTACTGGCCGAACTGTTTTTGCGTGAGTTGAGAATAGTCTTAATCACCTCAGGACTCTGAAGAGAGGGCGATTCTCCAATGCTCAATTCGCCAGATGATCGTCTTCGGCTGGGACTGAAACCATTCTGTTCGATTTTGGCGAGTGATGATTGTGGCAATGGGCTTTCAGAACTAATCGAGTTTGGTGGTAGAATGGTATTAGTGATTTCTGTTGTCAGTTGTGCTTGTCTTTGCTTCGAAGCTGAATCGATTGAGTTCAAATTCGACTCATTATTTGCTGTTGCCACACCGATGATGAGTTCATCTGATGTGGGATCGATTTTCCTTTGAGTGGAGCTTGCTGTCTGTGGTTGTTTTTCTTGTGTCTGTTGTGTGATTGTCGTTATGCTAAAGTTCGATAAGGTGTTTGGTTTTGCTGCTTCAATCTTTGGTTCATCTTCCACCTTTTTTATTATTGTGTCCAAACGCTTCTCGTTAATTATCGCCGAGAGCTCATCTACGATCTCATTTAAAGGTGTGGTTGGACTTGGTAATGGACCGGTTTTATCTATAGTAATCTTCTCGTCGAGTGGTTTCGCCACCTCATTATTTGTGTTGTGAGCAACTTTAATGCCTGAAATCGATTCAAAATCCATGACGGGCCGTTCCTTGATCTTCGGAGTAATGGGCGCATCTGATGGCTTTTCACTTTCAATCCCATCCGCGAATCGTCCATCAGCGAAATTAGGCGGAGGGGATATGGGAATCGCAAAATTCCACGAAGCGCTATCAGAAAAGTTTGGAGTTGCTTCTTGCGTTGCTAGCGCTGGCGTATTACCTTCGCTGTCGGTTTGAGTCTCGGCGGCCAGAACAACGAAAT